CACCATAAAGGGCGGCGGATCCCTCTGTCCCCTGGATGGTGGTGGCGGCGGTGCAGCGGCGGTTGGTGCAGCGGAGGCCGGTGGTGGCCGTACGACGGCGGCTGCTGGCGTCGGTGTTTCGGCGGCTGGTGTTGGCCGGGATGCGGCGGCTGCGGGTGCCGGCAATGGCCATTGGCGGCCGAGGTCCAATGACCGGTAAAGAAAAATTAACAAATGATTATATCAGACGTTTCGGCTCATTTATTTTGGCCATCCTCAGTGAAAGTTCATAAAGGCAAACAAACATAAGAAAAAGAGAGTAACATGAAAATAATAAAAATAAGTATACGCCGCAAGATTATCGCATTTCGGTTACAGAATTCAGCCGTTTACAATAAGCATACATAAATTTGATATGATTGTCGGAATTATAAAAATGTAAAACTAATCTTACTTAAGTTGTCCGAGTTATAAAGTTAACATGACGGTGTGTAACGGTCCGGATGGGTAATCAACCAATGTAATTTAGCGATCGAATATATTTGAATTATCGATCCAATGTATTTTAACTTGTGAAGCGCACCGCAGCGATTCCACGTTCTTTTTTCTTTTTTGTTTTTTTTAAAAAAGAACATATATAAATAGGGATATGTGGAGGCAGACGACTGGGTGGTCACCCTGCGAGAACGTCAGTTGAAGGATTGAATCAAATATGTAAAGAATAAATGCATCTAATGTTCCAAAACTATTTAATAATAAAAGATATCTAGAGAAATGAAAAGAAATGAAAATGAAAGTCCAAAGTAATAAAAGCAGTAACAATTTATCTTGATGCACAAACTCTGTCAAGTGTAAAACAATCAGATTGTCAGTGGTATATTCAGAAGTCAGATTAAAAGGTTGAGACGATCTTCGACAATTAGAAATTTTCGTGTGTGTCCACGTAGCTATGTATCTATTGAGTGAGAACTGAAGCTAAAGTGAGGACGAAATAAAGTAAGAAAAGGGGGAGCAGATATATAAAGGAGGGGGGGGGGGGAAAGGGAGAGGCGAGGCGAGGGGTCAAGTGTGTGTAAAAGCTAAGAAGAAGGAAATTTGCGGAGAATAGGTAGATAAGAGTTAGGAAGGAGTTCGGTGTCACTTTATATATTGAGACTATTGCATTGTTTTTTAATGTGTAACATTAAACTACTACCATCTCGAATCATAGATTATTATCATTATTATTATCGTTATCGTTATCATTATCGTTATCGTTATCATTATTAATTTAATATCATACGATATCATACAAGCGATGGAAAGATGGTTACAAGAAGATATTGGCATTCTGTCACTACATGCTTGTTACAACCAACTTAAGAGCCGAAAAAATTCTACTTTCAGAGAAACAATAAACGTGAACCTTTTCACATAGATTTTTGATTGATTGAAAATCTAAGAAATAGAAAATGTGAAGAATAAATAAAGAGAGGAGAATAAATTTTGATTCTTTAAATAAATTGTCTTTATGATTTGGGAAAATCCAAAAGTACGCCTAAAAGGTACGTTTCGGACTGGAGCAATAGAATAATAAAGGAAAGGAAAACATTTTAAAGGATTAAGATAGTAATTTTAAAGAGTGCCTTTTTAAATAATTAGAAAATCTGCCTATGGCAGATAGCTGGAGAGGCTATCATAATTATTTGTGTGCAAGGGTATTGGCGTGAATCTTGAATTATTAAAATTATAACTATAATTAATAACAGACAAAAAATACAAATGTTTGAACGCATTTTATTTAATTACAGATTTTTTACTTTTTGCTGTTGAGTTAATAAAAAAATAAATATATTAATTAAATTTCGGGGGGGTTAACCCCCCCCTCCCTCATGGGTGCACCACTGCATGTGCCATCTACACTAGCTTCCGAGTCGAACCCAGATGCGAACATTTCTTTGATTTTGACCTGAGGATCGATTCTGTATCATGCAATGTAGTGAAAATTACAAAAGTAAGCAAATTTATTAGGTGTGGACCAATAAGATCATAGATATTTTAGTAAATTTGCTCACTTTTGTAATTTTCACTACATTGCATGATACAGAATCGACTTTCTGAGATCGACTTTAGACAGAACGGCCTTCGAATCGAACATCGAACAGATTTTGTCAGCATGGCAAATGTTCTATAGTCTATACCTAGCTTAATACGAACTTGTTTCTGTAACTGTACATGTCAATATTATAAAAACGATATACAAATACTATATCGACATATCACTGATTGTGAGAAATTTTCTCAATGACATTCTCAGTTTCTTTGACGTTTTCGCGAACTAAGCATCATTATGCCTCGCATTTGTTCTATTAATGAATATGCCGATATGGTGTTCGTGTATGGTTTTTGTAATGGAAATGCTAATGCTGCCCGTCGTGAATATTCCGTGCGATTTCCGAATAGAAGATTATCACACAAGACTATCTTTAGGTCCATATTTCAAATTTTATATTGAAAATGTTTACATGTCAATATCTTTTAAACAATGCCTTTACAGGCATACCTTTAGAGGAAAATTTTGTCTTGTTTTGAGCTCCTAAATTCATATTTTAAGTTAGGACATTTAACTCTGAAACACCCTGTATATAATAGATGTCGATTATGGAGAGAATTACAGTATTATATTACACAAACTAACATGAGTTTAACATTTTTATTAGAAAAAATATTTTTAATTAATAATTATTTTCTAATCAATAATAGACAAGAAAAGATTTTTAAATATAAATACTTCCTAAAATAAACTGTAATAAACAAAATATTGAGCAATTGCGAAATTACAGATGTCAAAATATATTATATAGTGCAATGATCATATTTTGACTGTGATCCACTTGACGCTTCAAAGTATTTATGAACCGCAGCCTTTGTTACAGTATGTTACAGTTTTAATAGTCAGTGAATCCAAATAAAATTTTATACAAATATTCGTTAGAGTTTGTTAGGATATGAAAAATCTGGCTGGCAACGTTTTTTGTCAAAAAATATTGCCTATTTTTATACATGGTTTTGAACTACGAGGAAATAACAATGAGTCACCGATTAATAGATGAGTGAATTGGAAGAATTAGAAATAAACAGTTGTAGTCATCGAAAGAGCTGTCAAAGTTATTACTACTAAAAAGTTATGTTCCTCCATATAATAAATAATAATAAAATTTTTTTATTTGTTGATCGACGACCGGGCATCAAAAATAGTGCATTTTAAAGGACTCAAAAAGAGTTTTCAAAGATTTTGTATAAATCATTCCCCTATTTTTTATAGTTGTGGAAATATTTAAAGTTTTTTTAAATAATTAATATATAATTGGGTTCTCTCTCTGTTACTATTTGCGAATGGCTCAAAATAGGCAATGTCCTTTATTAAGTGTTGCAGTATTTTCTATAAAAACCCATATAAACATAAAAATCAAGTTACTTTTAAACTGATTATGTTTAATTTTGCATAGATATTTACAATAAATAATATATGAAATTTTTTCGGTTTTGTCAGTATTTCAACATATGACTCTTTATTCTTTGTTATGTGTATTTTATTATGTATTTTTATTATTTAATAAATATTAAAATTAATTATATAATAATGATTATTATAAATTAAAATAAATAATAAAAAGTGACAAATTGCACGCGTAAAAGAGTAGTGACGCGTAAAAGAGTAATCTAACTTTTGTGTTCATATCAATGTTAATACACTGGTTTTATTATTAGCAACAAAATAACAAATATTTGATTACATTTAAAAAAATCTTGAATTTTTTTTGTTATATTTATTTTTTACGTTTCGTGTTTTATTAAAGACGTGTCATTTATTACAAATATTATTATATTATATTATATCATAACTAATTGTAAGAGATTGAGTTATTCTCTTCGTGCACTAACTTATATGTATATTATTTATGCACAATAATTATCTTGAATTTATGAACTGTTTACTCCATTCAGATATTATATCCTATTATAGTAACATTGACAAACAAATAATTCGCAGGACAAACGCGTAATTAACTGGTCGACTCAACAAAATAGTATGATACATCGAAGTGATAACATCGAAGATTGCGATAACATGGACAATGGTAATGATCGTCCAGAAGAGACTTGCCATCTGATTGACAACACCGATAGCGCGATAACGGATCGCAGGAATGGCAATGAGAGTACAACGACCACCGACACTAATTCCGATTCCCTGATAGCGCAATCCTCGGACACTCCACCTGACACGACAACAAACTCGTCACCCAACACGCGCACCTGTTCACCGAGTCGTGCTATTGGTCTCAATGTTAATGTTAACAATGTGAATGGTATGGTAAAGAAGAATACTTTAAAAGCGACACTGAGCTTGGATCCAGCCGCTCTCTGCAGAGGCACCATCCCCTACGAAAAGATCGCAACGCGCACACAATTGCGCTCAAGCACACCGGGCAGTATGGAGCTCAGGAAGGTAACTTGACTTCCTCCCTACATCCGGCGTCCTGCATCTGTAGATGACCATGGTCCTTGACCAAAGGTATTTAATACTGATTGTGAAACAATTTGACCAAACAACATAGATATCTACAATTGAGGGGCTTGCTCTAAAAAAGAAAAATACATATAAATCAGGGTTGTGTCGTCAATTTTATGAATTATCTGCTTACGAGATATATACATAAGTTTTTTATTTATTTTTTTTTTCATGTAGGCAATATATAAACTATTATAAAAATTAATAATTAATTTATTAAACATTCTTGAATTAAAAATTATTAATAATAGATATTTAATTTTTAAAAGTTGTAATAAAAGTAATAATTCTGCATTAAATTTTTATTATGATATAATGTGTATTAGCAAATTTACATAAAAATAAACTAATCTTTGATTAATCTATTTTATATTACGTAAAATTTTTAACATTATTATATTTAGGTATATATTTATAATACAAGATTATTATTATTATACTCTTTATATTATTTTATGAAAACATATTTTATACTTTTATATAAAACAGTAAAAGATACTAATATTATACCTACTAATATTATAATACTAATATTATAATAATAATATATAGGATTAGTATATATTTTATAATTTAATATTATTAAATATTGTTACGTCCTGGCTTAAAAAGAGCCACCGGATGAATGCAACAATTGTTTAAGAATCACTAGTAGGATTTTAATGACTCTGACTTAGTGATCTGAACGGTTTGTTTAGATTCTAAAAATCAACGATTGCGAGGCCGTTCTTACTCCGATGTTCAGATACCGTTCAGTGGTCCCCTTTTTGGTCTGAAATAGACTTCTCAATGACCAGGGCGGAACCAGTGCAAACGATGAAGGGAAATAAAAGAGAGATCGATAAAAAAAAAATTAAAATAAGATATTTTTAAAATAATAGAATATCATTGTTTTATGAAATCGATCAATCAGGCTTAAACATATTAATGAATTCTAACAAAAATAAATCTTAAATCTTAAATTTATATCTAATTACAATGATAAGATAACTCTAACTAGTAGTTCTAGTAGTTATTCTGATAAATTGTATCTTTAAAATAAGATTTTCCCTTCTTTTTTTTTATATATGTGTGCAATGTATGTTTTATGTATGTGAAGGTAGAGAAATAACTTAATATATATATCTATGCGAGGGTAGTTCGAAAAGTTCTCGGCCTGACACAGAAAACACATGATTTTCGGCAAAATTTTTTTTTAATTTTTCAACATAGTCCCCTTTCAACTCAATACACTTATTCCAACGATATTCTAACTTTTTTATACCGTCTGTATAATATGATTTTTCTAAACTTTCAAAATAAGCGTTAGTTTCATCGATTACTTCGATATTTGAGTCAAATCTTTTTCCAGCGAGGCATTTCTTCATGTTTGGAAAGAGAAAAAAGTCACTGGGGGTTAAATCTGGTGAATACAGCGCGTGCGGAACCAATTTGAAGCGCAATTCATACAATTTTGCGACTACAATCGAAGAAGTGTGAGCGGGTGCATTGTCATGATGGAAAAGCACTTTTTTTGCCAAATGAGAACGTTTGGCCTTAATAGCATCGTTCAATTGATTCAATAATGCTGCATAATATTCTTCGTTGATTGTTTTTCCTTTTTCTAGGTAGTCGCTGAGCACAATACCATGAAAATTCCAGAAAACAGTTGCCATCACCTTTCCGGCTGATGGAACTGTTTTCGCCTTCTTTGGAGCACTTCCACCCGCTTCTACCCATTACTTCGACTGTTGTTTAGTTTCTGGCGTGTAATGGTGAATCCATGTTTCATCAACAGTGATAAAGCGCCGCAAAAAATCGGTTGGATTGTGTTTAAACATGTCCAAATACTCCTTAGAAACGTTCATTTGAATGCGTTTTTGATCGACTGTTAGCAAACACGGCACCCATCGCGCTGAAAGCTTTTTCATATGTAAATGCTCATGTAAGATATTGTGAACGCGATCATTTGAGATGTTTGCAATGTTAGCAAGCTCGCGCACTTTTGCTCGTCGATCATTCAACACGGCATTATGGATTTTTTCTATGATTTCGTCAATCGTAGCGGTTTTTGGGCGACCTGAACGTTCATAATCATTTATGGACGTATGATCACGTTTAAATTCAGCAGCCCATTTTTTAACAGTTGAACACGATGGTGAAGATTCCCCCAAAGCTTGTTTTTTATTTCTGTTGGCGTTAAACCTTTTAAAACAAAGTATTTTATCACTGCGCGATATTCGACTTTATTCATTTTTAAAGAAAATCAAAAGAGAGTTGATTGCTTTACACGACTAAAATAAAGAAACTAATGAACGCATCTGTCTGAAATTTTGACAGTAGCCTTCTGCAAGATAAAACTTGCAAAAAATTACAGCGGTTTGATACTTCTAACGTCATTTCTGTGTCAGGCCGAGAACTTTTCGAACTACCCTCGTACATATATCGATATTCCCTTTATCATAACATTGATATTTTATTACTGCGAGCCTACCCATACAGCACCAAAAGATTGCAGAAACATTGCATAAACCTTACATTGAAACATTGTAATATTGCATGGAAGTTGCAAAATGTTTCTGCAATGTAACTTCAAGCTTGCGGCAACGTTAAAATGTCCGCCCTTGGAAATATTACAATGTAAGACTACAGTAATGTTACAGTGCAATTTATTTGTAATATTGAAACGCCTTACTACAAATATGCAGAATGCTTCAGATTTTAATAGATAAACTTTAAAAATATATAAAGACTTTCAAAAAAGATAAGAAAAAACTCGTTGCAATTGTGTAAGTTCACAATCTTTTTACATCCAAAACTTGGATATGCGCGTCACCGGTATATATATGTATGTATAGCAAAAACACTTATTGTTAGTCTAATGTAATTAAATAAT